TGAATTTTCTAACACCGTGATTGGCAAACTGTGGCTCTAGAGTCACACGCAGCTCTTTGGCCCCTTGAGTGTGGCTCTTCCATGAATACCACGGCCTGGGCAAGTCTATTTTGAAGAAGTGGCATTAGAAGAAGTTTAAGTTTAAAAAATTTGGTTCTCAAAAGAAATTTCAATCGTACTGTAGATATTTGACTCTGTTGACTAATGAGTTTGCTGACCATTGTTCTAACATAATCAATTAGCCCATTAATACCGTACACTAAATCATATTAGAAGACATGAAAATTTTCTGACCACTTACAGTTCCCTCCTTTGAACAAGTTACACTCATTCTAACTTGTACTCATACACTCTTGCACTGACTTACAAGATTCTATATTACTGATATCTCCTCTGGTTATTAAACTCTCTCATTTTATTTCACCTTCCAAGCATGTTTGCTGCCATGTTAGGCTAATATCCTTAAAAACAGAAATGTTTCTTTAATAGTTATTGAAAAAATGGATAACTGAAAAGAATAAAGAACATTCAATAATTATTCAATAAATTCATTGACTATACAGAAAACATTTTTTATTCTCTAGCTTTAAAACCATATTTTACTCAAGATTGGATTATCAAAAGCAACCATATAATAATCTTTTTTTATTTTCAGATTACTACACATTTCCAGTTATTCCAAGTTTCTTGATGCACAATGAAAATTAATCAAAGGCCATAAACTCATTAACTGAACCTATCACAACTGCTAAAATAAAGCAGTCAATCAAAAAAATGAACTGAATTCAGCAAAGAACTTTACAACAGCTAATAAAATCAAGTAAACATTATCTAAACATTATCCTCAGAAATTATTTTCATGACATGGCTCAAATAAAGATGTGACAAAAAGTGTTCCTAACATAAAAGTGAAGCAAAGGAAATACTTAAAAGCTCTGAAAAGGCAATGTAAATCAAGTAGCTTTTAATCGAAAAGAAATTAGGTAGTTGCCAAATATGAAATACATCATATATTTTGAAAATATGAACTTTTTTATAATATTGAAAATATTAACATATTTGAAAAGATGATTATAAAGTAATACAAAGGTGAATCTAGAAACTTTTTATATTTAGGTAGAGAGGACCAGAAATGATATTTCAAAAATCGCATTTACCGTATTTTTCGGACCATAAGACGCACTTTTTTTCCCCCAGAAGTGGGGGGAAAAAGTCCCTGCGTCTTATGGTCCAAATATAGCCTACACATATACTTTAAAAAAAAAGTTTTTTTACTTGCCCGGCTCTGTGTGGTCTCTGTGTGCTTTCCCGGCTCTAAAATGGTTCTAAATGCTGTTTACTTTACAGGGTTGATTACGTGTGTTTATGACTGTGATGTTGGGTTTTAATGCACATAAAATATTTTAGGACACTATTTGTTTCAGAATTTTTTTTCTTCATTTCCCTTCTCTAAAAACTGGTGCGTCTTATGGTCCGGAGAGTCTTATGGTCCGAAAAATATGGTACATAGAAGGCAAAAATGAAGGAAGAAAGAAATATGCTATCGATGTCAAGTTTGACTTTGAAAGAGGAAGGGCAGCTGAAAAAAAATGTAAAGATAAATGGTCAGATACACTGTGCTGTGACTGTCAATAAAAACGGGGAAAGACCATAAACAGGAACATGTGTGCAATCAGGTCTTCTTTAGGGCTAAATTATCCATTCCTTGAAATATTTTATGAGCCTGAATATAATAAAAATTATCCTCTGGGTGCATCCACTTAAAAGAACAAAAAGTTAATGATTTTGTGCCACAATCAATGAGTATTTAAAATTATTTTGGGAGTTAGATTTAGTACAAAAACCTTATGTGTGGCAGATGAGAAAGTGTCATGGCAACACTAGATGTCACAAAAGAGCATTTTGGGCTAAGAAGACAATGTCCTGCAATAGCAAGAACACCAGCTTTAGGAGGTAGGGGTAGGTGAAGTAAGGTATCTTACCTAATAAAAGAGTAATAAGCAAATTAACCATCACTCCACTCCACAAGCCACACCCACCAGCCAATCAGAGAGAGTATGCAAATAAACCTAATCAAGATGGCTATAGCCACAGAGAGCAGGAGGGAGGTGTTTCCCCGGCATCAGAAGAAGCCAGGCTTTCCGCCTGCCCTTGTTGGCCTAGGCCTCCACTCAAGGCTACAAAGTTTCAATTATAGAAGGTAGACAAATCCAAACAGAAATGGCTGCAGCCACTGAACGAGTAGGAGGCTTGGCTCTGCTCCAGGCTACAAAGTTTCAATTATAGAAAGTAAATATATGCCAGATACCAGGGCTTCTGCTTGGGTCACCAGGGGGCGTGGCCAGCCTGCAAACCACCACAGATCCCTCGGCCAGACCACCCCACGCCCCAAGGGAACCCCAACCCGGATCCGGGACACCCTTCAGGGCAAACCAGCTGGCCCCCACCCATGCACCAGGCCTCTATCCTATCTAATAAAAGAGTAATATGCAGATTGACCATCACTCCAACACATAATATGGTTGCCCCATGTGGCCAAAGATCCTGCCCCCTATGTGGACACAAGATGGCCAGCAGGGAAGGGCAGTTGGGAGGGACTAGGCCTGCAAGGGAGGGCAGTTGTAAGTCATCAGGCAAGTAGGGGAGGACAGTTGGGAGGTACCAGACCTGCAAGGAAGGGCAGTTGAGAGGGACCAGGCCAGCAAGGGAGGGCAGTTGAGAGGGACCAGGTCTGCAAGGGAGGGCAGTTGAAAGCAATCAACCCTGCAGGGGAGGGCAGTTAGGGGTGACCAGGCCAGCAGAGGAGGGAAGTTGGGGGCAAACAGGCTGGCAGGGAGTGGTTAGGGGGTGATCAGGCTGGCAGGCAGAAGTGGTTAGGGGCAATCAGGAAGGCAGGCAGGTGAGCAGTTGGGAGCCAGCAGTCCTGGATTGTGAAAGAGATGTCTGACTGCTGGTTTAGGCCTGATCCCACCAGGATGGTGTTTAAACAGCAGTCGGACATCCCTCTAGGAGTCCCAGATTGGAGAGGGTGCAGGCTGGGCTGAGGGACGATCCCCTCCCTCCACCCACCCCAAGCATGAATTTCGTGTACCAGGCCTCTAGTAGAGGGGATAAATGGTGATGGAAGAAGACTTGCCTTGGAGTGGTGAACACAATACAGTGTACAGATGATGTGTTGTAGAATTGTGCACCTGAAACCTGTATAATTTTGTTAACCTCTGTCACCCCAATAAATTCAATAAAAGAAAAATATTTTAAAAATAAGAGAACCAAATATATAAAATAAGCTATGAAATGGAATAACCAAATAGAACCAAATAACCAAATAGAATATATATATGTATGTATATATATATACATATATACATATATACATATATATATATTATAAAATAGCCATGCTGTCAGACACTGAAAAACAGCATTAATGAATTAAGTGAATTAGGAAAATCTAACAGGTTAATATACCTTTAAAATAACACCCATTTGGCAAGTTATGAACAAAATCTCTTTAGAATTTATATGGCAAAATAATCAGATTTTCCACGACATGGAATGATAGAACACTTCGTGAGAACAATCTCCTTAAAATGCACCATCATTTGTAAAAACCTGAAAGTCCCATGCTAGTTGTACAGAATTTTCTCAAGTGAAATCAGAGGCAAAGGATAGTGACTAGGTCTATTCTACATTTATACAGGGTGCGTCCAATTGTCAGTAATACCCAGGATCATCTAATTAACGTAACTCTCCATCAAATTATCAGGCTAAAAATCAAAATTGGGGTGTTTTTTTTTTCTCTTCCAGATTCTTAATAGGAGATAAAACCAGGAGTAAAAAAAAAAAAGAAGAAGAAATGTAAACTCAACAAACCAAAAGTGGCAACTTGCGTGACCACAAAATAAAGTTACTATTTTGTGAGACTACGAATTAAGGTTACTACTGCATGTAGTCAGGGGAAATGAAGCAACAACTTTCACGTCCTAAGCACCGGGGCTCATTATCAAACCTGGTGTGCTTTTCAAGAGCTACTTGTTTAGATACTGCACTCATTTAAGCGCAGATAATGAACTCCTTCTGTCTCTTTCCTCTCCCCGTTTCCGAGCCAAACCCTTCCAAGGCTGTGTGGTTGGTAAATAAAGGCAGTCAGCCTCCAAGAAGGAAAAGAAGCTCAAGTGGGAAATGGTATCCTGATCCAGCCCAGAGCTCCGGTGACGCACAAGGAGCTTGGAAAATATCCCGTGGTTTTCCCTTCCTGAGAGCAGCCGGGTGGGAAGGTGATCGTCCACGTGCACTATTTATTCTTTTACAGGTGTGTTCACTTTCAACTCTGACACCAGACCCTCCACCTCGGCCTACATGGAGAGAGAGGGGTGGCAGCAGCGCAACACAAGTATATCTGAGCGCAGCACAAGTTTAAGAAATAAAAAAATACAAATCAATATACCACATTTTTTTTTTTTTTAAATTGCAGCCTACTACTAGATGCCCTCACCTCTTCTCCACACCTCAGCCATCATCACTCCAGGCAGAGCTCTGCGCCGCCACCCCGGATCCCCATGACAACCCCACCGGAGGGCAAGCCTCCCTCCCTCCCCCTCCGCCGCCGCCCGGGCCGGGCCGGGCCCGCCCAGCTTGCCTGGCAGGTGACGGCTCCACCTGCCCGGCCCCCCCGCCCGCTGCCAGGAGGAGGGCCGGCGCCCGCGGGCCCGCTCCCGGGGGGAGGGCAGGACGCCCCTCCGTCGGGGGCGTGGGGAAGGGAGTCCGGACGCCGAGCTGAAGAGGTTCCGCTCCGACCCCCTCCCAACCCCCCCACACACACACACCAGGGACGCGGGGGCCCGGGCGCGAACCCCAAAAGGACCCCCCACACCAGACGAGGCGGCCGAGAGGAGCAGAGAGGGGCGGGCGCGGTGGGCGCGAAGGAACTTGTCCGTTTTCACAAACAATGACTCCCCGCCGCGGCGGCGGCGGCGGGAGAGGCCGGGGACGACGCTCACCTTGAAGGGGTTATTGAGGTCCGGGTCGGCGAACGGGTTACTGTCGAAATCCGACATCTCTCCCCCTCGCGCTCCGCGTCACCCACCGACCCAGGCGCAGAGAAAGAGACGAGGCGAGGACGCCGCCCCCCTGCGCGCTCACGTCGCCGCCGCCGCCGCCGCCGCGCAGATCCGGGTCCAGCCGCTGGGCCACCCAGCCGGCCGCGCACTGAGCATGCCCCGTGCGCCGCTCCGGCCGCGCCGCGCTCCCGGCGCCGTCCCGTCCGTCCCTCCGGGAATCCCGCGCTCCGGGCTTTGGCTGCAACGGAATGGGGGCGGAGGGAGCCTGGAACTCGTACTTGGGAGCTGCTAAATCCGTCCCGCCTTCCTGGGACCCCACTGAGATTCTCATCTCGTCTTTTCTTTTCTTTTTTATTTTAATAACATGGGTATTTTATTTATTTTTATTTTAAAATGTGCTTATTGATTTCAGAGAGGAAGGGAGAGATAGAAACAGCCACGATGAACGAGAATCACTGATTGGCTGCCTCTTGCACGCCCCCAGCTGGGGCATCCAGCCCGCCACCCCTGCAGGTGCTCACACCCGGCCGTATCTGATCTTGAGCAGCAACTGGTCTGGGTGGACTTGATTGTGTTTGGCACTGATTTAAAACCGGTCACGTGTGATTTGGGGAAGAGGTGGTATTTTGTGGACAAAAACAAAAGAGTATATCCGCTGTCACCTGGGCCCCAGGCTGGGAAGGGAGCCTGAGACGGGGGGCTGCACACCTGGGAGCGCGTGGCTATGGAACCACACGTAGGTACAGCTGCTGAGGGAGAGGCGCGGGGCAGGGAGGAGCTCTGCAGCAGCCTCCAAACCCGCGGTCCTGGAGGCCCAGCTGATGAAGTGTGGCTCGCCCAGCCTCACGTCTTCCGGCCCCGTTAGGTGGCTGCCAAATCGGAGATCAGCCGCGGAGCTACTGATCCGGATTGGCTCCGCAGAGGTGTGGGTCCAGCCCCAGCTCCCATCCTCTGGAATCTGCAAAATGGCTCCTTCGGAAATGGGGGGTGGGTGGGGGGGGGTGGGAAGGGGTGGGTGACACAAGTCGGGAGATCAAGTTAATATGAGTGGACAACAAGAAGATGCCGTTTTGTTGACTTTCAAGTATTTGGGCACAAAATATACACCTCTGATTTTTCCCTATTCCCTTCCCAACACCAGAGATGAGATTACTGAAAAATGGGCTTGCGTAAGGAATTTATTTGAACGGTTTGTTAGGCTTACCCCTCAACTAAAGGTATCTCTTTTCCTCTACTTTCATCTTCCTTCTGCACTAACAGGAAAGCACTTAGCAGATGCAGCTACAAAGAGCCAGAATTATCTTCACTTGGTAAGTGCGGAAGATTTGGAAGTCGCCTTGGCTTTTTGAAGGCTTGTGCTGTGCAGAGTCAGCTGGGGAACCCTTTCTCCCTGCTGTGAAAACAAAAATCGCATTTTGCTGTGATTTGTCTTTGGAGGGATCCAGGTTAGACTACATGACAAGCTGCTTCTGGGCAGCCGACTTAGGAGTGTCGACTAATAATTAACAACAGACAGGGATGATCCTGGCAGAGCTGCAAGATTCTAGATATGAAAAAGAGCAAACAATCTGTTGTGCTCACCATCTTATTAGCAGCAGCCTCGTATCTGGTTAGTTCTTCAGTGCTCAAAACCCCAATTATATGTTAAAATCCTAATTATGATATTACGTGGGCTACTCACTTCACCTCTGGGTCTGTAAATGATTATTGAAGAAGTAAATGAAATAAGTCACAGAAAAATTCCCTTATGAATGTAGTGCCTAACAAGTAGCATTGGTGAATGTCTGCAAATGGCCAAGGGGCCCGGCTCCTTGTTCCCAGGTGCTTTTCCTCATCTCTCCTAGGCTTGAGCTAGCCCAGCTGATCTGCTTCTCTCACCACTTGGGACCTCTCTCCCTCCATCTGTCCTCCAAATGACCCAAATAATCAGCAGCTATTTATTATGCATCTAATATGTTCCAAGACAATGAGGATAAGCTGAGCCTGCTTGGTGGAAATTGCAGGGTGGAAATTTCCAAATATGCTATGTTTACCGCTGGTGACATTAGCACCTAATGCAAAAATTTAGACTTCATTGTTCCAGAATCACTTGAAATACTTTTTAATGTGCACATCCCCACCTCTCCATGTCTCCTATCCCTAAGTTTCTGCTTTACGGGATCTAAAATAGAGGCCCTGAATCTGAATATTTTTTAAATGTCTTTATATACAAATGCATTGTTTTACATAAATGCATAAATAGGTTCATACATAAGGTGTTTTCACTTTTTCTTTTTTTAAGGTTTTTATCCTTTTTCTTCGGTTGTATCTTCCTTACATTAACAACCTGGTATGTTCCTTTTAATATTCTTATAATATTGTATATATAATTTATATAGCATAACACTCACATAATCATATACAATATATAATACATAATCATGCAGACATATACAGAGTTTTGGCATTGTCTTGAAAAAAAATGGTAAGATATATGGGTATTCCAAAAAATGTATACACACATTTTGAATAATTATAAAGGCAATGGTTATTAAAAATACATTTCATTTTCAAAATTGAACTATCAGCTATTAAAGTATGTATACATTTTTTTTTTGGAACACCCTGTATATTTTTCTGCAACTTTTTTTTTTCATTTAATGATATTTAGGGCAGAGTTTTCTGTGAGATGTACATTGGCAAAAAGACAGTCTAAGATTTTTTTACCCCAGTAAACCACATAAATATAATTTTTTTTTATTGGTATTATGACTATAGAGGTAAAAAGGATTGGGAAGTATGGCCTAATGGAAATATTTCCAAATCAACAATTATTAATCAAATTCATTCTTTTTAACAATTGCAGAATCACCACAGTTGATTCTGATAGAGGTGCTGTTCTGACGACACTTTAAGAAAGAACACTGATATAAAGATATTAAAGTATGTGCTCGGTTCACGGGTAAGCTTGTTATTTCATTAGCTCTCATGAAATGTAGAATTATAGGGCATAACAGCTGAAAGGAACCTTAGCATTTCTCATGATAGATGAACTGAGTTTGGACAGGTAAAGTAATTTGCTTCAGCCATAAAGAAAGTCAACAGACGAACTGAGAACAGACCTCAGACTTCTTGACTCATGATGCAGACATTAAATTTATAGATTCGGTTAAAAATATTTTATAAAGGGGGAAGAGATGCTATGTGCAAGGTAGAAAGAAAGCACACAGGAGGCTTCATTTGTCGAAGTAGTCCATTTTCCAGGAGCTGCCTTCTAAATTTGATAGAAAAATGAATGAAAAATCAAAACTAGTTTCTAGATTTAGCTCTACCATAAACAAGCTGTGTGACCTTAATCATACCAATTCACCCTTCTGACCTGAGTTTCCACATCGTGAGTCAAGAAGTATTCACTGAACACCCACTAGGCAGTAAACAATATTTAATTTGTTGAAGATAGATTAGGGTACTAGATATAAGAGTAGGGTCCGTTCCCAAGAAATTTCCTGAAAGGTCTAGGACATGACTAAATGATATCTCTGGACAACTCTACCATTCTATTTATCTGTGGCAACGGCTCACCCCTCCCTAACTCTGTCCTGCCCTCTCAGGGCATGCCTCACACTGTTCTCATGATGCTTCTCTCTGACAAATTCGATTTGTGAATCTGTGGTCAGGGGCCTGTAGTCTGAATTTCATGTTTTCTATACTGGCTAGCATATAGCTAGTAAATGTTAAGAAAACATCTAGTTAGAAGTGTACAATTCTTACCTAAAAAGGTTCATTGGATTCTGGATACATTAATGACTTAGAACTGAAATCTATCATGTCACTCAGTGGACCCAGTTTCCAGATTTGCTGCTGTGACTGCTGTTACTGATACCCACAGACACCCTAACAGGAGTATATGTGGCTCTCTATTCTGCCACTAGCTACACTTCTAGGGAGTGGCAGAGGAGAGAAGGCACTGTGTGGTAGGCCAAATAATGGTACCCAAAGAAATGTTCACACCCTAATCCTGGAAACTTCAAACAAGTTACTTTACTTGACAAAGGGGATTTTGCAGATGTGATTAAGGTTGAGGATTTTTAGAGGAGGAAAATATCCTGAACTACCCAGGTGGGCTCAATGGAATCAGATGAATCCTTCAGAGTGCTGGCTTCTAAGATGGAGGAAGGGGTTCATGAGCCAAGGCATTTGAGTGGTTTCAAAAAGCTGGGAACAGCCCTTAGCTGACAGCCAGCAAGGAAATGGAGATACCAAGAGGAACCAAATTCTGCTAACAACCTAAATGAACAAGGAAATGATTCTTCCCGAGAGCCTCCAAAAGGGAACCAGGCCCTGCTGACACCTTTATTTTAGCCTATTGAGAACCATGCTGGACTGCCAACTCACAGAACTGTAAGGTAGTCACACCACCACCCGCTATCCAGCTAACTGCCTTCCACGCTCACCACCTAAGCTAACTCCAGCCCAACCAATTGTATCTAAAGTAATTACCCTTTCTCATATGATTATATGCTATTCAAAAGGCTGAATGGTCTGGGTATCCTTCAGATAATTACATCACATTGTTGTTCTCTTATGATTCATGGGATAAAAGTATTCTGTAGTTCAGGACACAATAAGCATAACAAAAATAAATGTATATTTTGAGTCTCATTGTAACTAAGACTGTACATGCACACAGAGTCCCTTCTACCAAGAATGTCCTTCTCCCTCTCATTTTCCACCTTCAAAGTTCAATCAACCTTTCATGGCCAATTTCAAATACTATGTCCTGAATAGAGCGATAACTTGCTATTCCTAATCCAAGTTTATCTCTCCTTTCCCATAGTATCTAAAACAGTTTGAATCTTTGTTATAGAATTCATGATATACCATATCCTAGGGGTGTAAATTATTAGTACATGCCCAGCATATATGGTATCTCAACATATATTTGGAGTGAATGAATGTATCTGTCTCTCTTCTGAAGACAGGGAGAAATTTTTCTTTATATTATTCACAGAGCTTAAAATCAGCATTCTGCTCAAAGAAGGTTCTCAAGAAATAATTGTGTTTACTGTTACTTTGCCTATGAAAGGGGCTGCCCAGCTGGCATGGCTCAGTGGTTGAGCATCAGCCTATGGACCAGGAGGTCATGTTGATGATTCCCAGTCAGGTCACATGCCCAGGCTGCAG